TTCAGCACGACGTGTTGAATATAAAAAGGTTTAATCTTTATTTATTTACGTAAAACTAACATTTTTTTTGTCTACTAAGAAATATATTTTCCTGTATTTTCTTCAATTTAATTTAGTTTTCGAATTTCGGGAATATGAAATTTATCTATTCTAATTTCTGAAAAATAGAGTACTAAAATAGAAGAAAAATAAAAAATATGAAAACATAAATAATAAAAAAATATGAATAATAAAAAAAATAATTAATAAGAAAATGTAAACAATACTGAAAATAACATGGGTGATAATAATGTAAAGCATTTACTGTCAAGTGTCGTAATTAGTCATTACCTTTACATAATTATGTTCAGAGGCGGTTTAAAATTACTCTCAAGTGCACTTACCGTCGTCAGAAGTAGAACTGGATGCACTTACCGGTGACAGTAAGTGCTGTATGTGTTTTTTACCGTCAGTAGTAATTATTAACTCGATTGCACTTACTGTTGACAGGTACGGTAAACAGTACCCGACGGTAGAATAATTTGAACATCACTTACCGTCTAGAGTCAAAATTGGTAAGTGCACTCGAGTTAATAGCAATTTTACAACGGTAAGTGGAATCGAGTTAATACTCGATTCCACTTACCGTTGTCTTCTAGTGTCAATAAAAATTGCCAATTTTGACTCTTCACGGTAAGTGATGTTTAAATTATTTCTACCGGCAGTTATTGTTAACCGTAGTTGTCAACAGTAAGTGCAATCGAGTTAAATGGTAAATGACACATACATCACTTACTGTCACCGGTAAGTGCATTCAGTGCTACTTCTGACGACGGTAAGTGCACCTGAGAGTAATTACAGACTATGGTTAGTGCCTCCTAGAATAATTACTGTCGACGGTAGATGCAAATGTCATTTGTGGCACTGGACGGTAAGTGCTTTCGTCAGTTTTTACCAATCGTAAGAGTAATTATTTTTGTAAAAATTATTTAGGTAAAATTGTTAGTAGCTTTTAAGTAATTATAAATAGGCCCGAATAAACAGTGAAGTGACACTTAATGCACACGGTAAGTGCAGTCAGTAGTACTTTTTACGACTACACTTTATTTTTTCAAAAACTGTTTAAGTAAAATTGTAACTAATTGTAAGTAAAATCAAGTAAAAAGTTACTGTCGGAAAGTGCAGTAAATTACACTTACTGTCGACGGTAAGTGCAATCACTAACGACGGTATTCGATCTCCCAACCAATTGACCTCGATCGTTATTCAAACATGGTAATAAGAAAAATGCAAATTCAGAAATTAATCCCCGCTTTTCGATATTAGGAAAAACTTTTAACCAATCACTTTTTCCCCTCTTGTGTTCTTGAAAGAATGTTGTTTCTATGGTAAACAGTTTGACGTTGAAAACTGACAGATTTCAAGAAATCCGAAAAGGAAATATTTTTTCGTGTCCGACCCTTGGTGGGAATGCAAATTGGTATTGAAATAAAGGAGATTTCAATGGAAATTCAAGACGATTCGAATGGTAATTCTACATCATCAAGAAGTTTTGACTTTGGGGTGGGGGAAGTTTGCAATTTCCCGAAGAGAATCGTGAATGTTCTTAAGGGAATGACACCTACTTTTTTTCTTTCCGCTTTTTTTTTCTAAAGTGAGTGAATCAGGTCCTTGGTCGAAATAATCTATAGACATAGTCGACATCCGGAAACTCAAGTTGAAATTGTGCGCAAGAGATCTCGACGGTAGGAGAGAGAAACAGAGAGGAAGAGAGAGAGAGAGAGAGAGAGTTTCGATGAAACTTTCCCCAGTGGCGACAAAAAGTTTATTGCGAGTAAACAGCATGACGCAAAGTTAGCAGTTTTAGCCACGTTGAGGTGCTCTATCAGAGAGCTCGAAACTCCTTACTCGGTTGCCAATTTCGTCCCCGACAGCCGCAAATCTCCACAGAGATTAAGGCCGGTTTACACGGCGCTAAATCAACTTGTTCTTATAGAGAGTGAGTAAGAGAAGTCGCTTTCCTAAAACCTTTTGCTCCTTTTGGCGTGTGACCTAGGAAAGGCCACATTTCCTCTCCTCTCCTCTCTTCATGGGTAAATGATTCTTCCTTGCGCGCACATACACACACCAACATACCTTTCCTTCAATTTTCTCATCTCTCAGATAAAATGTGTCCTTCACTTCGGTTCCACCCTCGATCCATAACTGATTTACTCACTATGAATAAACCTTGCAATTGAATTATGTAAACTGAATTTCGTATTAAACAACTATTGTCTTTCAGAAGGTACATGGTAATCTAAACTTGAAACTTTCGCAAATTCCTATCGTCAAGAGGTCTCACGGCTGTGGCCACATCGTCTTAAATTATTTGCTTTAGCTTATACCAACTTCGATAATGGAGTGCCTTAGTAAATAATTCAATCTTTCCTATATCCATATAAAAAGTTGTTAGCGTTGGGGAAAAAATTACTTTTCTGCAGAAAAGAAAAAGAGTTTAATTCACTTTCGTTTTTATTATTAAGAAGAAAATTAAATTTGTTTACTTTTTTGGCAAATTCGTTTACAGTTTTAGTATTAAGGGGAGAATTCGATTACATTTTTAATTATATCAAGAAAATAATTTAAATATTCCATAAAATTATTTTTATAGTAATTCAGGGTTGCCACAGGTCAGGGAAATCAGGAAAAAGTCAGGAATTTTTATTAAGAGTACTGGAAAAAATTAAATGATTAGAATTTATAAGAAAATTCTGAATTTTTGTGTCTTTTTGTTTATTTCATAAGCTATGAAATTATCACGAATTTTAAAAAAACCTTTAACTTGTTCTATTTTTGTCAATAATTTATTTTAAATAACTTAATTTTATTGAAGAACTGCCATAAAGTTATTACTTACAAATCATTTAATGAAATATTTTTTTTAAAAAATGTTAATATCAATTCTGTTGAAAAAACATGAAATCAGGTACAATTTTAAAAATTTTAACGCAATTCTTTGGAAAGAATTCAACTATCTTAATAAATATCAAAATTCTTTCAAGAAATTTAATTATTTTCAAAAATTAAAAAAAAATTCTCGTCAACATTTCAATTATAATTATATCTTTATATATAGCAAAATTCTTCGTAAAAATTCAATTATTTTCAAAAAATCTAAAAATTTCACAAGAATTCAATTATTTAAAATAGAATTTACATATTTTTTCTCGAAAAAATCAATGTTTTAAAATTTGGCATTAAATTCTTTGCAGTAATTCAATTATTTTCATTAATTTTAAAATTCCTTTCAGGGATTTATTTATTTTCTTAAATAATAAAATCATTCAGAGGAATTTAATTATTTTCATAAATAACAATATTCATCACCAGAATTTAATTATTTTTAAAATAATAAAATTTTCTTTAATAATTGTATTTAAAAATTAATTTCAGTTAAAGTTTTAGAAATAATTGAATTTTGCAAAGATTTAAAATTAAAATCTTTGAAAATCTGAATTTTTCATACTTTTAATTAAAATGTTCATGGAACTGATTTTTTTCAAAAAACTTAATAGAAATTTTTTAAAATTATTTCAAGTTGAAATTAAATTCTAAATAAATAAATTTGAAAATTCTCAAATGAACATTATTAAAAATTATTAAAAATAATTGATTTAATGAAGAATTTTATTTAAAAATTGTAGAAAATAATAATTGAATTGTACGTTTTAAAGAAAAGGTTGCTTTCAAAAAGTTTTTCAGGAAAAAAAATTACATTTTCCGCAAGTTTATTGCTTTATTTGATACTTTTCCCCCTCTATCGTTTGAGTATACTTGGGCAATATAATAAAGTTTGCGAAAACCAAAGAATGAGGAAGCATTCAAGTGAAAATAAAATATATTGATTGTAACGTCAGCAACAATGATATCAAGACAATTTTGCGTTTTATTCACAAAAAGTTTTTGATGGAAATTTTGTAATCAACGATCATTATTATTTAGAGCGTGAAATTGATTTCAGTGAAATTATAATATTTGTGCAACACCTGTAAGGAAAGTAATACTTTGCATGCCTGTAAAGTAGGCGCAAAACAGTACTTTGCTGCACTAGTGCGGCAAAGAGCTTACTTTTCTGCACTAGTGCGGCAAAGTGCTTATTTTGCTGCACTAGTGCGGCAAAGTGCTTACTTTGCTGCACTAGTGCGACAAAGTTCTAAAACTTTTGGTTTTTTTTTTGGTGATATACATAGGTATTTGTTTTCTATTTGTATATAATACCTGTTTTTTACAGTAATATACGCGTAAAAAACCACGAATATTACGTGCGGGAACATACGTTCCAAACCCTGCTAAACAGTACGTATGTTGGCGTCAACTAGCGTTTCCAAACAGCTTTTTTTATCAAAACCAAAAGGTGTTGCACAAAGTACTGTGTGCAACACGTACGAAAGAAGATTTTCCAACTTCGTGCAAATTGCTGCCCTCGCTTCGCTCGGGACAGCAAACTTTGCACTCGTTGGAAAACAGCTTCTTTCTGTACTTGTTGCACAATATACTATTTCATCAATGCGAGAAATTTTCAGGTTTATTTATCATCTTTTATCTATTATTTTACTATATTTGTAATAAATATAATAATATTATAATTAATATTAATAAAATAATAAATGTTAATGATAATATACAAAAATGAATTAATAATAAAATTAAGAGAAATTAGAAAAAATAATTAATTTAATTTAAATATAATAATAAATAAAATAATAGTACATAATTGAGGTGGAGCCAAACGACATGCGCAGTAGTGTAGTATAAACACGTTGGAAATTTTCAGAAAAATTTCTATTAAAACGTGTTGAGACTTGCATTATTGTAATATAATAAACCAAGTAATAAAAGAGAAGAAAGCAATAAAATATTTTGGCCCAAGGAAATAATAAACCATAATAATCCCATTATGTAAACAAGATTTTATGATCAAATATTCATTCAAAAATTCTTTTCTTGTCTAGTTAACCCAAAATTTTATTTGCAGTGTCGCAGTCTATAGAGAGCCTTTGGAAAGGAAACAGTACTTGATAGAAATATTCGATTTCAAGACAATGAAGAAAAAGGAAATTGATGAAACACAAGAATTAAAGGAGTAAGTCAAAAAAATATCAATACAATATTATTAATTATTGTTTCCATTAATAGAAAAAATAAATTATTGTTACAAGTTGAAAATTGAAAAAATAATCAGTAAAAATATTAAATACTTTTTTATTTATTTTATTTAGTAATTAGTAATTTAAATATTTTTCTTTTTAAAATTTTAGTGGAAAATTTCAGAAATTATATTGTTTTCAAATATTTATCGACACGACTCGGAAATAATTCTGAAGGAGGGAGAAAAGTCAATTTCGTATTGTAAACAATAAAGTTAATGACCTTCAAGATTATTAGAGAGTTTGTTTCGAAATTGTTTTCTTCAGCTAGAAATTTAAACTTCATTCGATTGTTGGAAAAAAAAATTAATATTTTATGAAAAATAATGAAAAGTTTTTTTTAAAAAATAAATATTCAATTTAGATAAAAACAGGTAATAATGAATAATTATAAATAATATATTCTATCTGTTAGTGAAAATAAAAAAAAAATTGTAAAAGTTACGATTAAATATTCATTCAAAAATTATTTTCTTAACTCAGAATTTTTTTTGCAGTGGCACACCACACAACAGTCTTTGGAGAGACATTGAAAAGGGGTATTTGACAGGCCGCCGGAGAATGTTTCAAATTTGCCAGAAATATTCGATTTCAAGACAATGAGGAAAGAGAAAACCGATGAAATACAAGAATTATAGGAGGTAATTGAAAAAAATATCAATACTAAAAATAAAAAAATAATAAAATACTAAAATATCATTATTAATTATTGCTTTTAATACTAAAAAAAATTTTATTTTTAATAAATTAATAATTAAATAAAATTAATAATAATGACTAATTATAAATATAATTTTCTTATTGAAAACAAAAAAAATTGATAAAAGTAAATATAAACAAGAGTGAAAAAAATATAAATAAATAAAATAAATTATTGTTACCAGTTAAAAATAGAAAAATATTAATATAAGAAAATATTGAATATTTTTTTAATGATTTTGTTTAGTAATTTAAATATTTTCTTTCAAAAATTTTAGTGGAAAATGTTAAAAATTATATTTTTGAATATTTATCGACGACTCGGCAATAATTCTGAAGGAGAGAGAAAATTCAATCCTGTATTGTAATCAATAAAGTTAAATGACCTTCAGAATTGTTAGAGAATTTATTTCGAAATTATTTTCTAGATTAGAAATTTAAATTTAATATTATTAGAGAAATATAATAAAAAAATATTTCATGATAAAGAAATATTTATTTTAGAAAAAAAATCCGTAAAAAATAAATAAATACCTACCGAAAATTTTGTAAAATAAAAATAAATAAAAAATAGAAAACTTGTAATAATTAAAAGTTAAAAAAGTGAGAATTACCTAGAATTTTTAAAATAAAATTATTAACTAGTGAATAAAAATAGAATTCAGTAGAAATTTTTACTAATTTTTTCTTAAAAATCTTTTAATAACTATTTAAATTTTTTTTATTAAATTTTTGTTCGAGAAAATTAATAGAAATTTCGGAAATAATTAATTTCAATACTTATTCTTCTTTTAAATAATTCAGAATTACTGGGAAAAGTTAATCCCCTACTGTAAACAAAGAAGATAACGTTGCTCGGCAGTGTTGAGGGATTTTGTTTTCTTTTCGTCCTTGACTGTATTTTCTTCATCCACAATAAAAGTACGAAATAAAATATTGAAAATTAATTTATAATTAATTAAAAATGAAATATAATTTTTATATATACTTAATTAAATAAAATAATTATTATTGATAATTAAATAATTGATTAAAAAGTAAATAATTAATTAATAATTTATTGATTTAATCAAATTATTTTCAATAAAAAAAAATAGATACAATTAATTTTAAATACGAATAATTTTACTAAATTAATTTAATTTAATAACATTCTTTCGATAAATCTAATAAAAATACGATTAGTTTTAATGAATTATTACTTTGTAACAGCATACAAAAAATTGTGTAAATAAAAAAACTATTTTTCATAGAGAAAAAATCTGATTAGAAATTACTTTGATAAATTTATACCTTTTTCTTGTCTAATTAATTAAAAAAATTTTTTGCAGAGTCATACATTTTTTCTCATATTTTTCCTGGACATTCATCGATGAGAATCAACGATTAAATCAACGATATCGATCATCGACGACAGTCATCAAACTTGGAAATGGAAATCCTTTCAAAACCTTATTTAGTGCTTAGCTATTACTGTTTATTAGGATATTTTTCAATGAATTTATATTCTGAAATATTTATCCAGGGATTTTTAAACAAAAAAAATGTGATTATATTAGCTAGGAAATTAGAAATGCTAATCAGTATTTTAAAGCAGAATGGAGAAATTTTAAATGGACAAGAGGATTCAACATCTGGCTGTCAACTTGAAGGCAACAGTTTTTCATCAAAGATACGGGGTAAGTCAAGAAAATACCAATATTTTGTTTTTCTTTACTGAATTTTACACCCTGAAATTTTTTTTAATGATTTTGAATTAAAGAGAAAAGTTAATCTCTTATTCTAAACAAAAGAAAGTAAAGAAACTTTCGGCCATTTTAATATGCAAATCTCGTATAATACACTACTGCGCAGGTTTAACTGATTTTATGCACTACTGCACATATTTCCTCAAAGCTCCCTGTTTATTATCATTCTCATAATAAAAATAATAAATAAATTTATATATTTTTATTATTTATAAAATTTATAAATTTTTATTATTATTATAATTATAATAATAAAAATAAAAATCGTAATAATTAATATATTTTTATTATTATTAGAGGTGTGCAAAAAGCTCGAATAGCCGAGCCGAGCCGGGCCGCAATTTTTTCGAGCCGAGCCGAGCCGAGCCCGAGCCGGGCTCGATGTATCGGGTACCCGAAATTTTCGAGTACCCGAAACATTCGGGTACCCGAATTCACTCGAGTACTCGAATATTTCGGGTACTCGAATGAATTCGGGTACCCGAAATTTTCGAGTACTCGATTTAATTCGAGCTTTTAAATTAAAAAAATTTTTTTTTTTTACAAAAAAAAATTTTATTAAAAATTAATGTAGAAAATTTTGGATTTTCTCAAGGGCTCGAATCAAATCGAGTACTCGAAAATTTCGAGTACCCGAAAGTTTCGGGTACCCGAAAAATTCGAGTACCCGAAATTATTCGAGCTTTTTATAAAGCTCGGCTCGGCCCGAGCTCGGCTCGAGCTCGAACTGAATAGGCTCGGCTCGGCTCGAAAAATGAAAAGCTCGAAAATACCCGCTCGAGCTTCGGGTTTCGAGCTTTTTGCACACCTCTAATTATTATTAATATTATTTTTATTATATTAATTTTATAAAAAAAATGTGACGCGCTCTTTAGAAAGGTACCTAACAACAGGGCTCGAACCAGTGAAAGTATTTAAAAATACGGACTTTACGGACAAAAAATAAAAAATTACGTATATTAGAAAATAAAAACTTCTAATAATTTCAAACAGACTTCAATTAAAATTTTTAAAAAAAATTAATTCTACAGAATCGTTAGTTAAAAACTTAAAAGTATGAAAAATTCAAATTTTCAATGATTTTAAATTGACACCTTCTCAAAAATCAATTATTTCTAAAAATTCACCCTTTGGTAAAAACTCAAAAATTCGAAAAACCGAATTTCTTAAAATTCAACATTCTTTCTTCTCATTTACTGCATTTAGCTTCATTATTTTTGGGCTCTTCAAAAACAGTTCACTTATTTATTAATCTCCACCCTTTGGTAAAAATAAAAAAATTATCAAAAATTCGAAAAACCGAATTTCTTAAAATTCAACATTTTTTCTTCTCATTTACTGCATTTAGCTTCATTATTTTTGTGCTCTCCAAAAACACTTTACTTATTTAATAGTCTCCACCCTTTGGTCAAAAATCAAACATTTTTAAAAATTGTCAAAAATTCGGAAAACCGAATTTCTTAAAATTTAACATTTTTTCTTCTCATTTACTGCATTTAGCTTCATTATTTTTGTGCTCTCCAAAAACACTTTACTTATTTAATAGTCTCCACCCTTTGGTAAAAAATCAAAAATTTTTAAATATTATTAAAAATTCGGAAAACCGAATTTCTTAAAATTTAACATTTTTTCTTCTCATTTACTGCATTTAGCTTCATTATTTTTGTGCTCTTCAAAAACACTTTACTTATTTAATAGTCTTTCACCCTTTGGTAAAAAATCAAAAATTTAAAAAAAATATCTAAAATTCGAAAAACCGAATTTTAGTTGGTTAAACCGTTTTCAATTGATGAGCGAATAAAGTTTTGCATACAGACAGACAGAAATTTGTTTTTTACATTTTTCGATTTCTAATGTCTCAAAACAAAAAAATATATAAAAATTTTTAAGCTTGGAGCAATGTACAGATTTTATTAATATAGATAATATTAATATAATATATAATATAATAATAATAACTTATAACATTAATATAAATAATAATAATAATAATGTATAATAAAATATATTGGGCGATTCGGTATTTAATATTGACGCGAAATTATTAATAATTGCGATATACGTTCATTATTTCTGGAATTTGAAGATCTTAAAAGGGGGTACATAAGCTTATTAAAAGTGAAGTGTTGAAATCACCCTTGAAACTGGATAATCCAATAAAACAAGGCTATTTGGTATTTCCAATAAATAATAATTAACGGAAGAGATACTACGGCTAAACAGAATTCCAAGAAGGAAGAGCGAGAGAGAGAGAGAGAGGAGAAAGTTCATTTTCATCATAGGATATATAGTAAAACGGGAAATCCTATTCGAACAACTCCTAACAGGGAGGATATTTCGATGAACATCTCCGATAGCAATTAAGCTTTCTACATTGAGATTTAAGATAATATGATCGTTTGAAGTCGATTTTAAATACTATTATTATAGAAAAGAGAGAGATAGAGAGTGTCGATCGTCTATGATATTTTTTTTCAAACTCTTCCTAACCCACTTTAATATAACCTTATTATAACCACTCTGAGAATTGTAGTTTAAGTTTTTAATTTTTATACTTTAATTACTTTTATTCAAATAAGGTATAATATGCTCCAACTTTTATGGTTTTTAACATTTTCTTTATTCTTAAACTTGCGTTGCTCTTTACTTTTATGTACTCTTCATTCTTTATTATATGATTTTCAAGTTTGTAATTAAATTTTTGGCTTAATTAGTTGTTGAATTATTTAACAATTTTTGTTTTGGGGCTGTGATTTTGGAGTATATGCCAAAAGTAGAATTTGGTTTATTAGAAAATAATATTGTATAATAACTAATTATTAGTACAAAATAACTAATTATTATTAGAAAATTACTAATTAATAACAAATAAATTACTAGAAAAATAGTCAAATTTCACTAATTGAATTAGTTACCAAAAATTTCAGTTATTTTGACATAAACTAAAAACAAATTCAACTAATAATTAGTCATTATTGTCTATTTTATTATAGTAATTTCAAAATAGTGAATTTTTTCGAAGAATTACATTAAAATTTTCAAAATAATTGAATCTTATCAAGCAATTTTTTTTTAAAATTGTATTGAAAATAAGAATTCCTACGAAAAAGTTTTATCAATAAAACTTGTGAAAATATTTGTATCTTTGTGGAAATTTTGATATTTATGAATATAATTAAATACGTGCCAAGAATTTTATTAAGATTTTTCAAAATAATTGAATTTCTGCAAAAATTGTTATTATTTAACCAAAATATTAAAATTTTTGTAAAAAAAAATTTATTAAAATTTCTGAAAGTACAAAGTAATTGGATGTCTGCAAATAATTTTATTGTTTTTCATTTATGTCAAGAATTTTATTAAAATTTTTGAAAATAATTGAATTTCTGCGAGTTTTTCTTTTTTCACAGGAATTTAATTATATTTGAAAATTTTAATAAAATATTTAGCAAAAATTCAATTATTTCCATAAATAATAAAAAACTCCTAGCAGGATTTCAATTATTTTTAATATAATTCTAATCGAATTCCTCGAAAAATGTAATTATTCTTAAAAAATTTTATTAAAATTCGCCGAAAGAATTCAATTATTTAAAAATTTGTTGATAAAATTCTTTAGGAGAATTTAATTTTTAGAAACATTTAATTAGTCAATAAATTATTTATTTTTTGTATTTAAATAATTGAATTCTCGTAGAATTTTAATAATGTGTAATTATTATCTAAAATTCATTTTTAATTAATTTTTAATACAATTTTAATCGAATTCCTTGAAAAATGTAATTATTCTTAAAATTTTTTATTAAAATTCGAAATAATAATATAGTAAAATTCAATATCATCATACACTATAATATATTCCATTGAATAGTGGAAAATAAAAAAATTGATTTAACCTAAAGTCTAGTAGATTCTCGATGATAAACGGTATCTATCACACGGTGATGAATACGCGTAATGAAACAAAGAAATAGAAGGGAATTTTGCGATGGGATTGAAAGCTCCGGCAAGCTTCGTGAAAAGTGAATCGTCATAACTCAGCGTGATTTCATCGATGTAAGAAGATATCAAGAGATATTTTTCCTTTCACAGAGACTACTTCAAATGAAGTAATCTCACTCCTGGTTTGCTGCGCCTTTTATGCCTTTTTTTCCTTTTTGTTTTTTTTTCTACTTCCATCTAATGAATGGTTCTTAGAAGAGGGGGGAGTGAATCGGTGCGAGCAAGTGCGCTTTCTTCAAGTGTCTCCAATGAGTGCAAAAAAGGGGAAAAAAAAGATAAAAAAAAAAATGTTGAACTATGTACGACTCCCAGAACGAGGGAAAATTGCTGTGCAAGGAAGATTTTTGGAATTTATACTTTTAACTAAGTGGTGAATTAGAATCACAAGGAAAGAGTAGTTGTTTCCTAAATTTATAATTCTCTTGGGATTTTTTTTTTGCTAAATGGAACGTTTTCTCTGTAGTGAAATGTGTAAATTTTTTTCTCTTTTTTTACTTTTTTCATTGGAAAATTTAATTTGCAATTTTTTTGTAATTTTGTTGTAATTTCTTTGCAATTTTGTGTAAATTTTCTTCTCTTTTATCACTTTTTTCTTTGGGAAATTTAATTTGGAATTTGTTTGTAATTTGTTTGTAATTTTTTTTGTAATTTCTTTATAATTTTGTTGTAATTTTGTGTAAATTTTCTTCTCTTTTTTCACTTTTTTCTTTGGGAAATTTAATTTAGAATTTGTTTGTAATTTCTTTGTAATTTTGTTGTTATTTCTTTATAATTTTGTTGTAATTTCTTTGTAATTTTGTTGTAATTTCTTTGTAATTTTGTTGTAATTTCTTTATAATTTTGTTGTAATTTCTTTGTAATTTTGTTGTAATTTCTTTATAATTTTGTTGTAATTTCTTTATAATTTTGTTGTAATTTCCTTGTAATTT